AGCAGAGTCTCCTGGAGGGAGAACGTGACACTTGTGTATAGATCTATACGGGACTGACAATCCCGCACTAGAGCTGCTCGCAACAGCTAGGTCAGCAGACTTATGGTGACAATTGTCGTATCATATCTCGATGCCTGAATAAAGTCGTGTTTCAGGCGAGACTTAGGTCATCAAGCATGGTTATGATAACTCACAATTTGGTATTGAATAATGCGTTAGTGTAAGAGTAAGTAAAGAACTTTACATAGTTTTATATAAATAAAACTATATTGATCAATCTAGCTATTTACAATTTCACAAGTTTTCATACAAGTATAAATAAAGAATGCTATTCTAGTACAAAGAAAACATATTTTTCATAGTTTTATGGGAATTTAAAACTGTATCATACTATTTTAGAACACAAATACATATACAACAGAAAATATAGGATTTTCTGGGGAGAACATACTCGTATTTTTCAAATGAATAAATAACAGATTTCAATTACAAACATGCTTATCAACTCCCTAGTTAATTATTGACACTCTTTTCAAAACTACTTGTATTTTCAGGAAATTGATAAACAGGTACCCACTAGCTTTGAGGAAGACAGAGTTTCATATTATCATGTCTTTTAATTATACTTTTTGGTGTAAAATATACAATTTTTTTAATAGGAACGTGAATGTAGTGGATTTTGTACTTTGATTAATACTAAACTTCTTTTTTGTATGTTTTTATATTGTTTTTATTATTAGATTATATGTATTTGTTTGTTATTTTTCTAAAACTCTACTTTAGAGGTTAGAACATAAGCAACAATTTACTTTTCTTGTGATAAACATGATGGTCATATAAATTATTATTATGAATTTTTTTTTTCTCCTCGCATTAAATTTTTATTTTTATTTTTATTTTTATTTTTATTTTATTTTATTTTTTTTTTTGTATTTTTCATATTGTTTATATTAAGGGTGCAAAGTCAATCCTACATTGGTAAAATAAGAAACTTGATGCTAGCATATAAGACAATGGGTAATCCCTTTTATCACCAATTGGTCTTAGAAAATGGAATCGCATTGTTCTTCTATATTAAGCATGGTTGGGCTAGTAGCAATCCTAACAAGTGATATCAGAGCTATAATCGTAGCCCAAAAGATATGGTCGGCATAGGCGGCACAATCCCCGATAATTCCCGGTCCAACAAAGTTGATCCGTAATCCTTTTATCAAAAGTCTTCTAGATAGCACATGTCAAGTGATCGCGCCCCGAGAGTGTCTGAGGTATGAAAAAAAAAAGATTGGATCTGATGAACAGTCGGTGAGAAGAGGCCAAGAGAGAAACTTGGGTTTGAGGGGAGGATTATTGGGGTGCAAACCTAATCCCATATTAGTAAAATAAGAAGCTTGATGCTAGGATATAAGACAATGGGTAATCCTTTCTATCACCAATTGGTTTTAGAAAATGAAACCTCATTGTTTTTTTATGTTGAGCATGGTTGGACTAGTAGTGATCTAACTGTTTCTATTATTAGAATTTATGCTTTTATTTGTTATTTTAATATAGTTTCTGGACTCTCTATTTTCAGTTTGAAAGTTATACTATTTGTCGTCATTTTACAAACTATTGAAAAATGAAAGCGCAAAATAATCAACAAGTTTGTTAAGAGGTGGCTTATGGCATGAATAATATATAATGAATAAATAAATATTAATTATAAACAGCTTGATGATGTCATGAGTAATGAACATGTTATGTTTTCGGTTGAAAATCATAAAAAACTGATATTTGAATAATATGTTTTAAACAAATAACATTTTTTGGGTTATTATTATGTTTATTTATAATAAGATTTTGAATTAATTCATGTAAATATGTTTCATTAGGTGTTAACATTAATTAAATAAATTACTTTTAAAATTAATTAACCATAATTATAATTAAAAATAATACTAAATCAAATTTGAAGTTTTTAAATTAATTAAACTTAGCAATTGTTAAAAGTAATATTAAATCGATAATTATATTTAATTTTATTCATACGTACGCTATTTGTAAAATGTGATTATAATATATGAAGTGGCGTAGCCATAGGTATCCCAAATAGGTCCTAGAATCTACCTAAGTTTTAATATTTTATAGAATTTATATGGAAACTTATACTAGGACCTACCTTTTACTATTGAAAATTATAAAGGATCTAACAAATTATGAATGAAAAACTATATAACTTTTGGTTCTAGATTCACCACTGAATGTATGTCGGGATAATGATTTAGAAGACCATTCAAGTATTACATGTTCAAAAACCATCATCAAACTAAGACATATGTTCAAAAAACACCAACAAAGTACATATTCTGGTAAAAAAACACAATTTTTATGGTTTGGGATAACTTACATGTTTAGCCCCTAACTTTTTTTTCTTAACTCGGACAGTCCCTAGCATTTATATTTAATTTTCCTTCGGACCATGATCGAGTTGAAAGACTACTATACCCTTATTAGTTTCATTTAACATTTATTTTTATTACTTGTTAATTATTTAACAATTGATGTAGTTTTAATAAATAATAATATAAATTGTATAAATAATTAATAAATAATAAAAATAATGTTAAATGAAAGTAATAAGGGTATATTAGTCTTTTAACTCGATCAAGGTCCGAAGTCGAAGCAAATTTAAACTAAAGGAACCGTCCGAATTAAGAAAAAAAAGTTAATGACTAAATATGTAAGTTATCCCAAACCATAGAGATGGTGTTTTTTTTAACAGAACATGTACTTCATTGGATTTTTGAACATATGTCTTAATTTGATTGTGTTTTTTGAACATTTAATACTTGAATGGTTTTTTCCAACAAATTTGAAACTTCGATGGTCTTTTAAGTTATTTTCTCAATATATGTCTATCTAATTATATTGTTAAGAAAAGTTATAATTTTATCTATTATATATATATATATATATATATATATATATATATATATATATATATATATATATATATATATATATATATATATATATATATATATATATATATATATATATATGTGTGTGTGTGTGTCAATAATATAATCATTTTTAACAACTCGTTTTTCAAAATTTTAACCACATAGTTTTAAGCTACGCAAATTCGTCTAGTTACTAAATATATCAAACATTCTAGAGAGATCGGGACAATAAAGGTAATATAAAGTTGATCAATATCCTAGATTTTACAAATCTAGAGATGAGGATTTTTGTAAATAATATGAACATTTCATTATGTATTACTAACGGATTAATTGATTCTATAATTATTTCCTAATATTGAGTCAAATAATGTATTTTATTGAATTTTAAATTCAAATCAGTTGAAAACCTTGTAAATACTATAATTCAAACGGCGAGTATTCGTATTCAACTGAGGTTTCAAAAGTTATTATCATTAGAATTGACACGAATGACTTGTTTTTGTATTTTAGTAGAATCCAATATTTTCACTATTTGAAAAAATAAAATTAAGTAAAAACCAATTCGGCCAAAGGGAAAATGAGTTACCAGCCCAACAAAGTTTCCAAACCGTTCAAAAAACTTCAATCATGTTTTGTCTATTAAAAAAAACCCAACGAAATTAGTTTTTTGTTTAAAAAGTCTAACTAAGTTACACTTTCCAGAAAGTCAAATAAGAGAAAGAGATAACGTGGCTTATTACCGTAACAAGAAAACGTCTTGTTAGACCAACGAAGTTTCCAAAATGTTTAAAAAACTCAAATCATGTTTTGACTGTTAAAAAAACCCTCAACAAACTTAAACAAAACAAAATTGGGATTTTTGAACAGTTTGGAACTTTATTGGACTTTTTAAACAAAATATTAAGTTCGTTGGGTTTTTTTAAACAGACAAAACATGATTTAAGTTTTTTTAATGGTTTGGAAATTTCGTTAGGCTTTTAAGTTATTTTGCCTTCGGCCACTATTTGTAGTAGCTTTGAAGGGGATATGGAATAGAGATGATAAAAATATCCAAACTCAAAACTTTTAGACAAGGTGATGATTTTGGACCGGATTTATGATTTTTTTTCCTGAATATCTTTATTGGTTTGAGATGATTATAGTATTAAAATTATATTCGTATATGATAATTCGATTTTATTTATCTGCCATCGAATCATTTATATTTTTATAATCCTTGTAATTTTATTATTAATATACATGATTTCAAAATTATATTATTATATTATATATAATACTATAAATAGAAAGTTTAGTGTGTAATTACTATTTACTTTTTAGAATAGAGAAACAATCATATTGTTTTTATTAGTTATGCTATGATATCAAGAAATTTAGATATTATAAATTTTGTATGCGGATGATTATATTTGTAATAACTGTTAGATACTAGTTGATTTTGTTAGGATTTGAAAAGAAAAATCAAATAATTCAAGCTATTTTTTGGATGAAATTATGATAGGGTGTTAGACAATGAAAATTTAGAACGGGTAATTTTAACTTATAAAATCATAAATGAGATACTTATAACCGTGGATATACCCGCAAACCCAATGAATATTTAATAATTGGGTACCTGATGAGATAGAATCCATTTCGAGATATGGTTATACATATAATCGGATGCATGACTGAGATCACCTATTAATACCAACAATATTCCATTCCTAATATATAGTGAAATATAAGATTTTATAAAGTGATAAATTGACTAAACAATATTAGCAGTTATGTGGATGTTCTGATATATGTTTGATTATGGGTTATATTGTAAAAAATATTTTAGTCTTTAGACAGTTTAAACTGAGCTAGCTTACTATATGCGATACTTGACTTGCCCCGACTAGTCCCATCTAATATTCTAAACTTGATCCCACCTTTCTCAAATCGATTATTTCTTACTCACCACAATGATTCATGCCTTCCTCATTAATTAATCTCTACACATTAAGTATAACAGGTTCCATTAGTCTACAATTAATTGACACCCGTTTTGATACCTGAAAATTCATAAGATCGATGACTTCCCAAACGAGAACACCAGACGTCGACTTCAAAAGAAGAAGGAAAGCAAGGTGGTGGTCGTATATAATTGGTGGTGTCATATTCCAGATATTCATAATACTTGTATTCCTTTACATAATCCTCCGTGTTCGAAGCATAAAGCTACGTCTTCATTCCGCAGAACTTCAAAACCTCAAAACAAGCAATCAATCATCCTTTACCATGTTCCTTCACACACAAGTAACTATCATGAACTCCAACTTTGGTCATTATAAGTTCGATAACAGTACAATTGTTTTAGCCTATAGAGGAACTCATGTGGGTGAAGTTGGGTTTGGGAATGGCTACGTAAAAGCTCGATCGGTAAAGAAGATTGATATGGTTGTGGCGGTGGCCGTGGGTTTAAAAACTTGGTCGGATCATGGTGGTCCGGGGAGGATTACATTGGCGGCAAAAGCACATGTGACCGGAAAAGTACATATACTGAAAGTCATCAGAAGGAGGAAATTGGCGGAGATGAATTGCACCATGGATGTTGATATAAAAACTCAGGCCATTGATAACTTGCATTGCTGGTAATCAATCATATATATATTCAATTCCACGAATGGTTAATTAATATCGCATTAAATATACTAACCATCATTTGTTAATTAATAACGTCGCAAATTCACATGATAATTAAATTAAAGATTAAATATATCATCATGTCTTGTCGCGCTTTTCTTTTGTAGTAATATAGTGTGGTTGTTATATAATCTTACATGGTTTGATTAATTATGATTCTTTTTGTATCTGTAACATGTATTATATGATTATTGATTCTTTTTGCACACGTAATTTAAATTACGATAATATTTATAATTGAAGACTATTTTTTTATGATCTAAGTCGAGAAAAGGCATATATTCTTTGATATGTGTTTTATATTGGAATTTTTTGTTTTATAAGTAATCATTATTTAAAGTTCATAACATGATTATGTTTTATATATACAATTATTAAGTTGTTATAATAAGATAATTTCAAATATTCTAGAGGATTGATTCAATTTCACCATTACTTAAAGACAAAAACACCCTCTAATTAATTAAAGACCTGACGAAAGCAGCCAAAGAAAAATCAAAGCGTCTAGAATAGAACATAAAGAAAAAGAAAATTGTCAAACAAAGTTAAACGCCATTGATGAAGTCTCTTCGTCTCCACCATTATCTATATATGTACGCATTCGTACCTTATTATTCCTTCATCTGATAACATTATTAGTTTGTCGCCGAATATAATTTCAACCACCAACACAAACAAATGGTTCCGACTAATCCTTACGGCCATGTCAACGAAGACCTTTCCACCGTCGCCATCGATGCCCGCCGCAAGAGACGAAGGCGCTGCCTCATGTCCGTAGCCATCGTCGCCGGTTTTGTAGCTGCAATCATCATCCTCTTCTCTGTAACCGCCGGCAGGTTTCGTACCCCCAAGTTCCGAGTCCGATCTGCAACTTTCCTAACTATCAACGTCACAAACTCAACAGCGAATCCTTCATTTCAAATAGAGATGAACACAGAATTTGGTATAAAGAACAAAAACTTCCGACGGTTCTGGTACCGGAGCACCACCGTCGATTTCTACTATCGGGAACAGAAAGTCGGTGACGGGTTTGTCTGGAACGAGAGAGTAAAAGTCAGAGATACTAGGAAGTTTACTGTTCCGGTGTCGTTGTCGTCGATGAATGTTACCTCCTCGTCGGAGTTACGAAGTGATCTGAACGCTGGTGTTTTGCCGTTGAGGAGCCGATCCAGGTTGACTGGAAAATTTAAGATACTATTTGTGTTCCGAAAGTATAAGCACGTTACCATGGATTGTTCTATGGACCTTGTTATTGCAACCAGGGAGCTCAGAAGTATATCTTGCCGCTGATATGGGTTGTACTGTATGGAACTAGTGTATTTTACTTTTTTATGATTTCTTTTTGTAATTTATTGATTTTGATTTTGTCCATATTATTTGTATTTAGAGCTGAAATTATTTTATAAACATATATGACGCTTTTTGTTTCAGTTTTACTTTTTGGAAGCATTCAGGTCACATTTGATGGCTTGAAAAAGCAGGTCTAAAAACATGGCAAAGATAATTGCAAATTTAGTCCTTATATCATATTTCTGTTACAAAACTGCACAAATGGACCACTTAGCTGGAAATTGTCACTTAGGTTGTGTTTGGTTGGTGCGCTACAGTTAGCTGATAAGTTAGATTATTTTTTGAGCTTTTTTATGTTGTCGTGTTTGGTAAACCAAAAACTAGATTTTAAGTCAGCTTATAAACTAACTTTTTGAAAAACTACTTCGACTAGCTTTTTAAGAGGTTTTTTAAAATTATCCAAATACATCCCTTAATTAATTATAGAAACACATACTCCTACATGTCTTTTTATGTAATTTTATATATTTCAACTAGCTTTTCAGGTAATTTTACCAAACGTTATTTTTTATCAGCTAATTTTTCAGCTATCAGCTAGTTTTTTATTTAACAGCTAGTTTTTCAGCTATCAGCTAGCTTTTCAGCTACTACGCCAAACATAACCTCCGTTAAAAAAAATTGACTAGCAACAGAGGTTCATTTTGTTGTAGGTTTGGTTCAATTTGCTTTGAACTTTTTTATAATAATGATTTTACTTGTAGTTTTTATTTTTTTCAATTTTATTTATTTATTTAAATATTTGACTAATAAAAAAATAAAAAAAGAATTTTAAAGAAAAGACAAAACTCTCTCTCTCTCTCAAGAAATTGGGTTCATTTGAATCAGAGATACACCCGCAAAAAATTGGCCACCCATCTTCTGCTACCTTTCCTCTTTATCACCTTCATTGACATACTTCTAAAATCCAAAATCAAACATAAGAAATCGAGTTTGAGCCCTCATACCTTCAACAAAGTGATTGAAGTAGCATCGGTCTTCTAGTTCTGTCGAAGAACGGTGCAAAGATCCACCATCAGCCATGGTCACCCCTATTTCACTCACTTCTCGTCACACACAAAACATTCACCAGAAACCTTTGGTGAATCGAGACATGAAGCTTTCATACTTCACCTTCTAGCTCCTCCTTTCTAATGTCACTTCTACATTCTCCCTCCTTTGTATTTTGTGTTAGGTTAAAACCCAAATCAGATATAACACAGCCCGAAGTTATGAAGTCGAAATCATTTCAAGCCCTAATTAACTCGTAATGAGACTCATAATAAGATTGTGGGTAATGGTGGATGTAAGGTTTGGGCGCAGGAAAGATGAAAGAAACGAGCAACAGTATGGTATGTGTGTGGAATCGTTTCTACCTCCTCCTTTGTAATGTCACTTCTACATATTTCTTTCTTATTGATTTTCTACAAATTTCTGGGTTTGTAAACGCATAACCAAATCTTCAACTGTGGTGTGTGTGTGTGTGTGTGTGTTTATCTTGATGTTATAGAAATCTTCAGTCAAATTGATAGGTTTCATATGCAATTATAGGTTCCCATTCTCGATGGATCAGCGAAGGAATGGGCGAAAGCTATCGAGCAAGTTGGGATTGCAGTTGCGATGGATTCCAATGGCAGAAATTGTGAGAAACTAGCACCATATCTTACCCAGCTTGTTCATGTGTCAAAAGAAGATTTTGTAATATCAATATTCCTTTCTAAGCAAATTAGTATTAGTTATGAAATCAATTTTCCGTAGGTAAACCTAAATCCCTTGATTTCCCTTTTATAAATCAATGTCATCCGATAACCTGTCGACGAATAGGTTCTTTGAGATATCAAGCTCAACTAGCTTCGACAAAGGTGATGAAGATGAAGACGAAGAACGAGAGGGAGATGTGGTGGCGACGGCGATGCCATCTTTTCCGGTGGTGGTTTGTTATGGAGAGAGAGAGAGAGAGAGAGAGAAAGAGAGAGTGTGTGATTTAATTTTATTTTTTAATCTGAAAATTAGAAAAACAATTAAGAAAAAAGAGAAAATCATATTAACAGGGGAAAATCTGTCATTTTGAAAAAAAAAATCAGAACAGATTGGACCAAACAAACAATAAAATGAAAACTTTGGACCTATCGTGCTAGTCCAAACTATTTTGGACCAAAGTGATAATTTTGAGCAAACCACGATGACCATTTATGCAGTTTAGTCTATTTTTGTTGTCTTTTTTTTTTTGTTTTTGTTGTTTTTTTTTTTTTTGTTTTTTGATCTTTTAAGGTTTTAAAATTACAAATTTAATCATTTACAGCAGTTTTCATAAAAGTTTGTGAAGATCGGGATTATACATATAATTGTTTTCTGTTTTACAAAATCATAATCGTAAGATCATACCAAAAGCATTTTAAAACATAGAAAAACATTTTCATCCATTAGATAACTATTCTTTTAACAATAAATAGTTTAAAACATAAATATACATCTCCAATACATTGTTTAACAATAAACAATTCAAAAGATGTTTTCTAGAGTTCATATTCAATGTACTTAATGAGCGCAAAACAAAACATTATATTTTTTTAAATAGTTACGAGTCTACAATCCTACTTCGATCTTATCCAAAAAAGACTCACATATAATCGAGGCAGATATATCTATTTGGGATCTTAGGATCGTACGATCAAGTTCTCCATTTTAACAACTTTGCTTTCATCCATTAACACGCACATGTGCCCTTCATGAGGGTAAAATTTTCTTTTACTCTCAACTACTATACTTATTAAACAATGTACAATAAAAATCAAGTCGTTCCCACTACCTCACACTTATCCCTTTATCCCTTCCCCCACATTACCTTTGAATTTGTTTCATTGGGTTGCTACTCTCGATCCTCTCTTCCTCCGCTTCCCTTGGCCGCCAGCTCTATCAAGTACCAGTAGTCATTCCCACCTCGCATCTCGGCTTCCACATTCCATTCCATGTAACCAACAAGACCATTTCCAAAATTACACAGATAGAATATCCAAGATTGGGTGATAACTAGACGTGAATGAGTGGGGAGTCATCAGACTTGAAGGAATAGGAAATCGCTAGAGGGTTGTGATTGAGAAATCGAGTTTGGTTTTTAGGGGTTTCATTTGAGAAATCTATATTGGCTTGGTAAACCTTCCATACCCGTCCATTTTACTTCTTATGAAAATCAAATTTGAGACTTGATGTTTATGGAGATGAGTCCATGCAACCCTTCTCTAGGACTCTTTTCTTGCTTCTAGATCTAAATCTGAAAATTCTAATAGTTTTTTCAATATTGTAGTTAAAGTTATGGTGATGTCTAGAACTAAACCGTCAGAATGGACTATGGCAGGTAGTGCATGATTTAAGTAACTCTAAAAACTTACACCAAACTAAATTAACCAACATGTCACCAACTGACGTATCAAACATATATTTTTATGTAATTTGTCTACCATTTCATATTAGGTTGTGTTATTAGTATATATTATATGTAACATCCCAAAATCACAATAAGATTTTTAATTTTTAATTAAAAAAATCATTTTTTTTCAATCAAACCCAAGTCATAAGAAACTAAGATCAAGTACAAATATTCCAAAATCAATGTATCATAACATCAC